TCAGCGCGAGGTGCGGCGCCTCGGCCTCCCTGCCGCCATCTCGGGGGGCTCGGATGCGGGCAGCGAGCGGCCTCGGGACGCTCCCCCCGCTCTTATTTCCCCTCTCTTTACCATTCCTTGGGGGGCTGGACAGAAGTGGGTGACAGTTTGTCCTTCGGGAGATGCAAGCCCGGGGGGCCTAACAGCGCCGGAGGGGAAGCGTGCAGGCGGGTGGAGGCCCAGCAGAGGTGTGTGAGTTCAGCAGCTCCGAAGGCTTGACAGGTGTGGAGCCCAAAGCACCTTCACCCGCCGGGGCTGGTGCTCGCTCCGTGGCAGGGGAATCATGTGGGATGTATCTCAGGAATGCGTGGTGTCAAGAGAAAAAGGAGATTGTCACAAGCTTTCACTCTTCACATAGGAACTAAATATGACAGGTTGTCAAAATAGAAAAATCACTTTCTGAAATTTTTTTTTTTTTTTTTTTTTTTTGGTGCCAAAATGGGAGTTGCTGGATATTCAGATTCTGGGGCAACATAGCTTCCTCCTATGCTCCATATGCTCCTGATGCCAAAAAGGACAATTGTGGGATTATGCTTTGGTAGAAAAGGTGGAGCAGGGCAAGCGTTTCAGTTTGAAAACTTGAAAAGTCTGACCTGCTTAATGGGTGCAGATAACTAGGCAGAGGATGTTCTAAGACATACATAAACATGCTTTTTTTTTTTGTACCCTGTGATGTGGTATGTTTGAGCTACATGATAGGTTAGGTGTGCTGTCTTCTATACTATCCTGCTTCTTTCTATCCACCTCCAGCCCTGATACCTCCTTTTACTATATCTTCCATCAGATGCTAGAACTATTACAGTGTATACTAGATATGATTTCATCTCCCTTTGCTTTATGCATATTTGGGGTATGTACTTACGTTGCAGTTATTTGTCTTCACCCTTTATAAGACAATAAGGGGAAAAAACAACTATTTTTAGGGCATGATTCATCTAACCTATGTCAAACATGCAGAACAAATCCTCCTGTGCACAGGAAGTGCTCTGATCCCTTGCTGAGGGAGTCTAGACACCTTGCTTGGATGCCACTGGTTTTGCAAATGTTCAACCAGCCCGGGGAAACTCCACTCTTTGGGGAGCCGTCTTCAAGGTGCAAGATGCGCCAAGTCATTTTCCTTCCATGCTATGGAACAGATTCATTTTAAGAGGCCTCAGATCAGGGCATAAAAGGATGTGAGTGAAAATGACAATATAAAAAAATAAAAAGCTAAGGCACTGTTATGAGAAAAGTTCCTTGTCCCACATGGTGTGGGAAAGAGTAAAATAGCAATTAGACATAATTCTAGGTCATTAAATTGGTATGGCACCCATGCACAAAAAAACTGTAGAAACCACTAAGAGAAAAAAAAAAAAGCATCTATCACTTACACAACATGACACAAGCCAGTTAATTAAGTGATTTTAAAAAGTTTCTCGTGAAGTTGAGGCTTTTTGTGTGCTTTTTTGGTATGTTGAACTTTTCTGCTAGTAGGCCTGACAAGAAAACATTGCACATCCGTGGAACAAAAGTTGAAAGAATGAACATAAACATGAGTATGCTTTATATTTCACTACTACCTCTAGACCTCAGTTGAGATCAGGCTCCCTTGTATGGGGTGTAGAGAAGCTGTATTTAAGCTGCATCTAAAGGTGCATTTTGTATTAACCCTACAGCTCTGCTCTGGACAACCTGGGAAGGGACCGGAACGCCCCAGGACTCTTCACCCAGCTTTCTGTCCAGAGGAAACCAAGGCTCACATCCACAAAGCATGACGTCAGGTCTCAGGGTTTTCTCTGCAGCCTCCAGCACGCAGGAACAGACTCTGCCTTGCTCAGCAGGTGCCTGTTTTGCTTGATTTAATTAAATGCTCAATTTGAGGCTCAGATAATCCACCCACCCCCAACCTAGAAGACAGGCAGAGAGATTTTTTTCCCCCACATACTTCTCTGAAGTTAGCAAATGTTAAGCAGTGGGTAGGACAGGGTTAGGTTGAGAAGCACAACATCTGGCACTGCAGTGAGTGTGACAGCCTTGCAAACCTGAGAAAAAGGGGTGGTCTTCCCTTTTTGGGGAGTGTGGCCTGTGGCCAATAGGAGTTCTGGGGGCATAGGCCTTCTGCATGACTTCCTTGAGGAACCTTGTTCAAATACCAAAGCTGGTTAACTTTTAAGCCTAGGTTATCTTGTCCTCATACACTGTTACTGTCCTCATACACTGTTACTTACTTTTTTAGCTTGGGCTTTTGTTTCAGTCTTAGGCTCCTGAAACACCTTCAGAAAGGGGAATGCAAGCTGCTGCTGAATTTGGTCAGGGTAAAGTCAGGTCTTGCAGTTGTCGTTATGTGCACAAGAAATGGTGTGACCTGCCCGTGTAGATTATGTAGCATATTTATTTGTAGCTTGAATGCGGTGGGATGGGAAAACCAACGCTTGGGTATGCTGTCAATTCATGAGGACATCAGTTGTTTTCCCATCTTATTATAATAAAGTTGCTTGTAGGGAAAGGACTGTCATTTTGTGCTGTGCCTGTATATCTGACCTCCAGGATCCTGGCCTGTGACCAGTGCATGTAGGCAGCAAACAATATATAATAATAATATATGGCATTGGCACAAGTTATTCTGGCAAAGCGTAGCTAATGGAGACAAGCTTAGTGGCTAGATTTTCAACATTACACAAGTAGCAAATAAGCCTGGGGAGTTTCAACTGTGGGTCAGACACAACCCCCACAGGAACCAGCTCTCAGGGAGAGAAACAAAAAAAAATCCCAACTTTTACAAAAGTGGGAACTTTGTTCATTCCACAAAGAAATCTAGCATGTACTTGATAAAAGCACCCACTTCAATCCCATAGATTTATCAAGAGAATTGCTAAAAAGGGTCTTCCAGCTGTACAAAGAAAGAATTCATTTTCCAAAAGTCCTTAGCATCCAGCAACTTCTGTAAGTTTGACTGAAAGCTGCTGAACATTATCAGTTTTGAAAATGCAGTTACTTTGTATCCAAAATGTGAATGCTAGAATCTAACAGTAAGCTTGTTCTTTTGAAAATTAGGGCCCAAGAATCTGTATGTGTGTGTTGCTATATATAAATAATTTTTAATGGATTTTGAGTTACCCAAAGCTAAACAGAATCAGAAATTGCTGACACATAAATATCACTGTAATGTAAATATATTCACCATTTAATCCTGATAAATACTGGATTATAGACTTCAGAACACAGACTGACAATTATTGGAAATCATGTGGTCACCTCAAGTATACAGTATTTCAATTAAAATAAAACCATAAAATCCTTTTTCTTTTTTAAAAGTACCATCTAGCATATAATTTATTTGGATGAATTCTACAAATATACACATTATATCATGCTAGAAGAACTTGAGAACCACTTTTTTCTTGTTCCCAGGGTCTCTTGACTGTTGGTAAGACATTACAGTCATAATGATAGAATTGGTTTACAGTTGCAAATTCTGCCAAATATCTCACAAATTATATTTGGCAAACAAAAGTGCCTCTATTTCACAAAGATAATGATCTGATGTTTTGTTTATGTGGCACCAAAGGAAAATACTGTTTTAGAGCTTGTGATAGAATTTCAAAAAGTTTGTGTGGTATTCTGAATTTCTGATAAACTTAATAGTTACCACTCCATTAAATACAGAGTAACACGGACTTTAAAAGTATCCTAAAAAAAAGAAAAAAAAAAAAAAAAAAAAAAAAAAGAAACTCGTGTTTGGTTAAATAGGTTTTGTCCATTTTATTTCCTCAGCGTTCATCCAGGCCTACATAGCAGCTGGTGTGCATATGCATGCAATACTTTTTACATCTGATGGTGTTGAACATACAGATGAGTTGCCATAAAGGCTCACCTGCGCCGGATTTAGTGTTGTAAGAGTATTTCTAGGATGTAGCCTGAAACCAACAGAACATAAAGGGAAACACACTACGTCAGACTTGAGCCACCTAGAAGCCTGCAGCCAGCAGGCAATTTGGAAAGAAAAACAGCATAACCTTGACAGTGCTATTCTTTGGATGTCTGAGGAGAAAAAGAAAGGAGCAGTGGGTTTGAACTGAATCTGGGACTCTGCTCTGAGACAGGCTGTTTCCATTCTGTATTCTGTGGTACAAACCTATCTGCTAAGGGCTAAACTTTACCAGGAAATCCACTGGGAATTTGTTTTGGCAACAGCATCACACCAAGACTAGAGCATACCATGCCATGCCATGCCAGTATGGATCCAGCTGCCCTGAGATAGTTGGCACCCACAGCCAGACTGGCTCAGCTGGCATGTCCTAGCTCTCCCTGCCCCCCCTACTGCTGGCACAGCAGTGTTCCCAGGCAGGTTCAGTGTGGGAATCAGGTGCTATTTCTTGAGTATGGAAGAAGGTCTCTGCTTTGATTCTTTGTCTAGCTGGTCGGATGGGTGGGCAGGGTGTGCTGTGGGACTGCTGCAGCAGTGGCAGAGGAGACACTGCCCAAAAGGGAAGGGCAAGGTGGTGCAGATCACTGACCTCAGCAAAAGGGTTGTCCTGTGCCTGGGCAAGATGCCAGACCCAAGGTCTTCGTCTTGGTGATGGCAGCAAACAAAAACACTGGGACCACTGGGACCTTGACACTGACCACCTAGGGTGGTTTGGGGAACCTCCTCTGAAGTTTTCCAAAGGAGATAAGCACAGTAACAGTCCTTCTCTTTGTGTCACCTGCATCTTTTTGCAGCTTCTTTGGCTGGACTTTCGGGATGGAGGAACATACAGTAGGAAACCTGGCAATCACAGAATCATAGAATGGTTTGGGAGTGAAGGGACCTTAAAGATCATCTAGTTCCACCCCCCTGCCATGGGCAGGGACACTTTCCACTAGCCCAGGTTGCTCAAAGCCCCGTCCAACCTGGCCTTGAACACTGCCAGGGAGGGGGCAGCCACAGCTTCTCTGGGCAACCTGTGCCAGTGCCTCACCACCCTCATATTGAAGAAATAACCATCCCAGGAGAAACATCTTTTGTGGGAAAGGACAGG